TCTACTAATGTCTCAAATAGGTCCAAGTAGATGAATCATACCAAATATTCAGGCTATTGGAGCCATCAAAGTGAATTTAGAACACTTTGGAAATATTGGAAAAAGAGCTTGTATTAAATTATTTAAAATACAAATAAACACCAATGTATTATCTCAATTGATCTTGATATTTTAGACTGACCGGAGGCCGTATTTCTACAATGTCGTCTATGACATGACCTCGGACGTGAAGGATCTCTTACGTTCAGCGTGGGTTGGGGTAGCCCCTGCCACACAGTTGGCGCGCATTGACCTGATTATTCAAGGGTTGTCCTTTGCCCGGTCGGGTAATTTTCGGGCAGATAAAGTCAAGAATTAGGCGCCACTGTTAGCAGTGGCGGATACGTGGGGTAGTAGCCGTCAACAGCAGCAAGAGGCAGACGATGATCCGGTGGCAGGCAGTGCGGTTCCAGAGACGCGGTCTCAATTTGATTACGTGAGGTCCCGATCGATGCCCGCAGGCGTTCCCAGAGCGTGGTGGCTGGCTTAGTTGGCAACATGGATTGGGCGCGAATAAGGCGCGAGTAGGAGTCGGGTGTAGTGTTTAGGATGCGGCGGGCGTCGCTCTGTTCGGTGGCCTGACCCCTGCGTTTGAGCGCAGTGGCCAGGAGATCATGTGATCGGCTCAGTGGGCCTATCCCGAACTGAGCTAGGGTTTAAGGTTTTGGGCCCTGGCCGTATTTTTACGGCAACAGTCAAGCTAGACCTAACTTCCATTCACACCGCCCGCTACACTAACACCACTATCTCGGCGGCGACACCGTCCAAGCTTTTGGCAAACCAGACTACAGCTGCACTCGCAGAAGTTGCTGCGGTCGACCGGAGGATGCCACACCAATAATGATTGGTGCATGCGCCCTACTGTTCGCTGCGTCCGTCCATTCCTTGACCTTCTCAGCATGGAATATCGACTGAGCGAACGCTAGCGCAGACTCGACTAGGGACATGCGCGACTGAAGAGTCCCTGTGGAAATATGTGCCAAATACTTATGTGCAGCAGGGGACAGATTGTAGACGACCAGCTTGTCAATACGGGTGTACGCCTTCTGCAATAGACCGCAGACTGAGTTATTGAGACCCTTCCAAGTCTGACCCTTGGTAGTATGCCGGATGGGATGCAATACTGTCTGCTCTCCTCGATCGGGTCAATTCACCCATTTACACACACACACACACACACACACACACACACACACCTGTATTTATTCGCTGTTGTTAGACTCTCACTAAAATCGCGCGTCTCATTACTGTAGAATTGTATAAAGTAAATACGTATATATATTAAAGCACGGATCATGAAGTAGATAGGTGCAGCATGGATTGTATCGAACTGTAGTATAAAGTGCTGAAGCTGTGTGCATTTCCTGTACTTTTACATACACATGTACCTTTATTATTTTTGTTTTACATCCCATCCGTACAAGATTTTGTAGATGTGCGAGTCGGTTGTCAGTTGTCACCCACCGGCATTTTGAACCTAACAAAAATAGAAAAACCGCCCCTTTTTTTTTTTGCGTCGAACCCAGGTGTCATCAAAATATTTACAGCACTGGAAAGTCACAGAATGTACATAAAAAAAAGTCTTTAAATGTAATTCTTAAATTTTATTTGAAATAAGTTCGAAAAAGGAATTGATTATCAAATTTAGTGAATTTAATTAGGCAATTAGAAAACGTATCCGTAAATCTGTTTGTACATTTAGTGACTTTCTCATGTAGGCCATGTACATGTAGAGTATTTTCTCTAAGAGTTTCTGCTCTTGTTTGGCTGCTGGCCTTTCCTCTGAGTCAGTTATTCCTGCCGTTCTTACTCTTTATAATAAAGTTTATATTAAATGTAGAGTTTCCAACGACAGTAGTCTTCTTCAGTATACTTCGATGATTTAAATATTGGTTAAAAAGAAAAGAATTGAAACTCGCGTTTAGAGAATTCGATTGGGTAATTAAAAAACGTACCCGTAAATCTGTATGTACATTTATTGACTTTCCCATGTAGGCAATGTACATTTAGAGTATTTCCTCTATTCCTAATATTGTCATAAGAAATATTAGCGGTAGAACCGTTATGCCATACCGGGACTCCGCATGTGAGAGAATCACTCAGGTAGAAACCTGAGTCTAGTGAAGTAGAAACCCAAATCAATCAGTTCGGTTCTCTCAGACTGTAGACTTTTTTCTAACTGAGATCACCGTACTTGAGAAGAGGTCTATTTTATCCTTTGACTCGTACTATTCAGCTACTCTCCATACTCTCAATTTTTTTACAATATCCTTACTGAGGTAAGTCAAAGCAAACTCACGTAGTATATTACCAAACATTAAGTGAGAGATCAAAATAGTTGCCAGGGGTCTTGATAACGTTACTATCTTGCAAAAAGCTTTATAAGTGGAAGCACAGAAGGGGCTCAGACGAGACAGAACCAAGAAGGCACCAGTTGAGGATTACTAACCGACTCACGGGAAACAGGAAGAAAGAAAGACGAGGAAGCCCCAAGGAAACCGCTCCCTCGCACTAGAACGACAACAAGAAGTCAGTCGAGGAAGTGAAGACGGAGCGGAGCCACTCCTCGCTTACAGTCACTTAGGAGACACAAACAAGGTAACCGTATCATGTTCATGACCGTATCGTGTTCACGGGTGGAGTTATTCACAACTCAGGTGAAAATATCGTGTTACAGTGAAGAATTGTTAAGTAGTAGGAGGATGAACCAGTGAAAATTGCGGAAGCTGTCACAGTGATTGATTAATTCAATGTTGGGGATTTTCAAATAAGAAAAAAGCCTGACGTCAGAACCCCAAAAAAAACATCATACCACTGCACCAATGTCCTCCTAAAACATAATTAAAATCACATGAGATGATAATTTCTCACATGACGAAATATACACAAGTCCACACGTGACGAAATAGGCTTGACTGACAAACACCAAATAAACCCTCCCAAATACAAGAAGGACCGCAACAAGCTACCGCATAACACAGAACGGTAAACAATTCCCACGGAAGTGCAGCAAAGCGCGAACACAATAAAATAAAGTGAGATAAATTCAATTTTTACTTATTGTCATACAAATTATTAGCAAAGACAAGGGGGGGGGGTGAAGCGCGCATTCGCACAGAATATAGCAAGAGTCTTTACTAATAACCTGCAATACCCACACACCAACACATACATCTCAAGATGCCAACGGCAACCAGAGCAGGCGTGTACGGTGGTGAAGAAGGTGATGTTGGCACGGATGGAGCACATGACAGCCCAGCTGGGGGTCCAAGCCCAGACAGTGGCTCAAGGATATATTCAATTTCTATTTATTTTCATACAAATTAGCAAAGACAAGGGGGGTGAAACGCGCATTTGCACATAATATAGCAAGAGTCTTTACTAATAATCTGCAATACTCACACACCAACACAGACATCTCGAGATGTCTTCGGCAACCAGAGCAGGCGTGTATGGTGATGAAGAAGATGATGTGGGCACGGATGGAGCAGGTGACAGCCTAGCAGGGGGCCGAGCCCAGACAGTGGCTCAAGCCAGCCAATACCAGGGGGGGGGGGTATCCATACAAGCCTCAGCAATGCGTCTAGAAAAATATAAGAGCATCTGTCAAGGCGACCACGTCCTGGTTAGTAAGTTTTTATCCAATTGGAACAACAGCACCGGTGCATATCCGGTGCCTATCCCAACTCTACACAAGTTGAGAGTAGGCATTCATGACCAACAACCAGAATGACACATGCCAATCGTCGATACAGAACTCAGAAGGAGATACGATCTAGCCATCAATGAGTGCAGCGACGATGATGAAGATGAACTTATTCAAATCAGTCAGTACATTAGTGAGTTCGAACGCATGCGTTCACGCTTAGGCGATAGGGTCAATGAGCCTGCACTCAACCTACTAAAAACCTCCGAATTTCCGAAGTTACCTAGAGACAGTTATTTCGAAATAGAAAATCGTGAAGATATCATAGAGTTAACTACACAATGTAGACACCTATTATTAGCCAAGTCTATGCCACCATGTCAGTACCCAGCGCTAGTGAGATATCTACTATACTCCATGATGCAACGGAGAAGACCAAGGCAGTGCTCAAACTCTGAAACACATATGACCAAGCACTACAAGGATTCTGATCAATTCAATAGAATCAATATTGACAGACTCAGACACCATCCAGTAGACTATCTGTCAGAGAAGTTTCTAAGTGACATGTAGAATAAGACACTGAACGTAGAGATTCGCACAGAGCGATTGCATGTGTTAGAGGCGCGTTACCGCAACTCAGACCAAGAGCCTATACACTTGCAAATCCTCAAGGTCATAAGATACCAAGCACTTACATACTATGGACAACAGGAGAAAGTAGACGCCATATTCAAGGCAGACAAACAGCCTGATTGAGGTGAAGGCCATTTATCCGATATGAAACACACCGCGCTTCACACTCTTACTGAAGCAACCATAAGAGCAGCAGCCAAAGTGCAGGCAGATCGGTTATATAGAGAGCGCAAGCGACACATCTCGCAGACAATCAACCAAAGCCTAAAAACGTAGAGATGCGCACAGAGCGATTGCATGTGTTAGAGGAGCGTTACCGCAACTCAGACCAAGAGCATATACACTTGCAAATCCTCAAGGTCATAAGATACCAAGCACTTACATACTATGGACAACAGGAGAAAGTAGACGCCATATTCAAGGCAGACAAACAGCCTGATTGAGGTGAAGGCCATTTATCCGACATGAAACACACCGCGTTTCACACTTTTACTGAAGCAACCATAAGAGCAGCAGCCAAAGTGCAGGCAGATCGGTTATATAGAGAGCGCAAGCGACACATCTCGCAGACAATCAACCAAAGCCTGTCTCAGGGTAGCACAACCACTACGACCACACGGCACAAACCGGACAGTGGTGCACCTAAGCAAACCAAACCATTAGGACAAGCCCAAGAGAAGAAAGGGCCGCGCGAGAAGCGTGCATACCCTTATTGTCAGGTGATGCCAGCCCCACATCGTTTCAGTCAATGTCCCATGAAGGCATCGAATCAGACCCAAGCAGGCTGAGGAGCGTGTCAAGAACGATGTACAAGTAGCAAGATTGTCCATTACCTCCGGCAAGGTAGAAGTCATCACAGATGGTGACGAGCACTGAAACGACTGGTGGGCGGAAGCAAACATGATTGACCTGGCTGACAGGCTTATTGTAAATACATAGGAAGAAACGCTGTCAATAAATATGTAAATGATATAAATTACCAGCCTTTATCTTTTCTTCCCGTACCACGAGACCAACGACTACACATTGACATACAAATCAATGGCAACACATAAAATGCACTAATAAACTCTAGCGCACAACGATGTATGGACAAGAGTATAGCAACTGAACTATATCTCTCAGTCAGAGTACAACCGGGCTATTTACAACTAGCACAAACAGCTGTCAGAGTACAAAGAACAGGGTCAACCCAAGTATGTGACGTTAACTGTGGAGAAAGGAAAACCTCTGAGTGTTTTGAAGTGTTGGACCTACCAGACAAGAAGGCACCAATACTTCTCGGTATGGACATCCTACCATACATAGGTATATACATAACAGGAATAGCAAATTCACTTATACCAACAGATGCAAATGGGAATCACTTCTCACGCCACATGAAGAAGATCCTGAGCATGAACAAGAATGTTTCAGAGAGTCACTTGCAGACCTCTTAGATACCAATGCAAACACACCTCCTGACGTACATTGCAACCTACCGGGCTCCACAGTCACAGTACCAGCAAATAAAAATTAATGTCAGACAAATGAGGCACGCCAAAGACTTTGTACCTCACAAGGATATTCCGTAAACGGATGAAAACGTACAAACGTACAAAGGTGGTTTACAGATGGTCACATACAAACGAACCCCACCGACAACGGTGAACCTACAATTGTTATTAACAGGTGAACATGACCAAACAGGTCTCCTTAAAAGTAAGAACATGTTTAGACTTACGCGAGATAAATTACTAATATGAACAAGATAAATTCGTACTACCAAAAAAAGGAAGTACAAGAAGCACAATTCTTCTCAAAGCTAGATCTCACGGGAGGGTTCCACTACTTTCTAGTAGACGAAGCAAGCCAACACTTCTTTACATTCTCGTGGAGAGGAGCGCAATAATCATTCAAGTCAGCGTCATTTGGACTACACTCACTCATAGCACAGTTCCAGAGAGTCATGGCAAACTTGCTCATAGACATCAAAGGTGTGCAAATGTATGTAGCTGACATAGTCGTTGCGAGTCGTACTCATAGCACAGTTCCAGAGAGTCATGGCAAACTTGCTCATAGACATCAAAGGTGTGCAAGTGTATGTAGATGACATAGTCGTTGCGAGTCGTACAGAAGAAGAACACCGCAAGACAGTTCGTGAAGTAATCAAGCGACTGAATGGAGCAAACTTCCAACTCAATCACAACAAGTGTGCATTCGCGGTCAAAGTGGTCGACATTCTGGGGGTGAAAGTCACTACAAAGGGACTCAAAGCAAATTCTGAAAAACAGAAAAGGATGATGGACTGGCCACTGCCCAGAACAAAAAGAGATCTGCACAAAGTGGTGGGACTCGCGAACTATATGCGCGACTATGTCCCCAACTTTGCCTACACAACTAAACACTTCCGGAACCTAATGAAAGGGAAAATGGACCAGAACTTATTCATGTTATGGACTCCGGAACTCAGAAAGAAGTAGGTAGAACTCAAAGAAGCCATCGCATGTTCGGCGACACAAGTATACCATGTTGATGGGGTACAGTTTCAAATCATGAACGATGTTAGTGTCTATAGCATAGGAGGATGTTTATTTCAAGTCATCAATGGGGTCAGAAGAGACATTCTCTACTTTTCCAAAGGCATGAATCCAGCACAACAACGCTATGACAAAACACTAAAGAGCTGCTAGCACTGGTATACAGTCTGGAACATTTCTCCGAATACATCAAATGAGGGGACATAACTCTATGGACGGATCATAAAGCGCTCACGCAAATGAACAGCCAACAGACGTTACACCCAATGTTAACCAAATGGATAGCAAAAATATTCCACCACCATTTCTCCATCATACACGTCCCAGGCAAGGACAACCAGATGGCAGATATGTAGTCGCGTATACACGAAGACACGTTTAATACTAAAACTTCAGAGGTATTGCAAGACGCGAACAAAACAACACATAACAGCCAAGAGGACACCGCCTTGGAAACTAACATTCTTATAACCATAAAGCTATATACTGAATGCTAAAGCTGAAAGATGGTTTGGAAAACTCACCGTAGATCTGTTTGCATCGGCACACAATGCACACACAGATAAATACTATACCAAAGAACAGAATGCGCTCCTACAGAAGTGGGCGTATGAAGTGAATGCATAGGTGAACCCACCGTGGGAGTAGTTAGTCCGCCATGTGATAAATGGTGATGTCATCTTGTGACTTGAATGACATAAGATACAGGTTCTTGTTCTGCTGCTTGTCAGCGACGGCCAGGTCGTCAATAAATAAGGTAGAACGTAGTGCCTTGGATTTTCGCCCAGAGGAGAATATCTTCGACTCGGCGAGACCAGCTGCACAGAGACTCACCCTGCATCCGTGAGAGAGTACGGAGAAGAGTACCATCAATATGTATTCTTAAACTGGCGTTTAAAGCGTCACTCGAGAAGATTCAAAGGACCCAAGGGTATACCACGCGGATGGTTGGTGCGAGCTGCAGGCGTAGAGAGATACAAATCGTACCTACAGTAATATTTTTAGCTTCGTAGTATTGGTCAAGAGACTTTAGAATGTCGATGCAATCAGTTTCTTTGACAAATGCCGCCTGAGCCGATGTCCAGTTTTTCTTCAGAGTCTACCGAACTTTCTCGTATGATTCATCTACGACATCGTTGATGGGAACGTAGATCATCTTGGATAGATCTGTCTTACTGGTGGATGTCGTAGCCATGTCCAGTCCGGCAAGCCAGTGATCGATGTTAAAGCCTCTTCTTCAAGCTCGATCATATAATCGTAGGAATCATAAGCTAGAAAGCATGATGTAGAATTTGATAGAGTGTCAATAAAAAGGCCTATAGCCTATATAGGTATCTGCCTATCAACCAACTTTCTCATTGACTGTTTTGCTTATTTCATATAGACAACCTTTTTATAATAAACCAGTCGTCGTGCACATGGGGCAAATATGACCCCTGTGCGAGGCGAAAGAGAAACCCGGTTGGGGGTTACGACCTAAAAAATAAAACTAGGTTTGTCCTGAAATACTGTAAACACACAATAAATGACAAGAGGATTTGACGTTCACAGACATGTCACAAATATCTGACGTGTCAAAAAAGTGAGAAGGGCTACACCCTACAAACGGCCCTCATTTACTTCCCTTTGCCTCCATCAAATAAATCAAAATATCTCGCTAGCGCTCGCTCCCAGCATATTCCAAAATTATATCAAATATACATAGCACGCTATGCATAGCAGTCAGATAAATGCATGCCAGATGTATATCAGAAGTATGCATAAGTTACATGTTTGTCAGAAGTATGCATGAGTTACATGTGTGTTAGAGGTATGTATAAGCTACATGTATGTCATAAGTATGTACAAGTTACATGTATGTCAGAAGTATGTACAAGTTACATGCATGTCAGAAGTATGTACAAGTTACATGTGTGTCAGAAGCATGTACAAGTTATTTGTATGTCAGAAGTATGCATAAGTTACACACCATAGTGATGATATATTTACTATACAATCGGTTATTGTGCCTACATATTCGAGTTCAGAGGGCACCAAATTCTTTGGGAATTTGCGTTATTATGATATAGCAGGTCTCCTACTACGAGTCCAGGTCTAACTATAAAGTAATGCTCAGTTCCCATGGGATGCTATACAGCAAGCCCTTTCAATATTGATTACCAATGCCCAAAGCAGCCATCTCCCGGACAAAAGTGTAAAGCGTTTAGGTCAACCATATTATTGGTACGGTGGCTGCTTGTACTTCGGCTTCTACCTTCCCAACCAGGCTTCGCTGAAAGAAATCAAAGATGCCCATTTGCATCTGCCATGGCACTAAAAGCAAATTTCGAATGACGAAGTTTATTTTATTTTACGTCTATGACTTTGAAAAACCGAGAGTGCTTGCTTCTTCCCTAGTTTGACCTACGAGGGGATTCTCTACAGGCTGCGGTTCACATTGGTTTAATTTGCGTGTAACAAAAAATAAATAAAGCATTCGTTCACATACGCTCAAAGGGTACTTGTGTTCAATTGTGTACGCGAGTCCACCTTCATCACTATTTATACTTTCAGTGATGTTGCCACAGTCTAATATGATTAGGTTCACTGCTTCGTGGATTGATAATATTACGGTCCTTCCGATAACCAAAATTCAAGCAAGGCTCGCTCTAGACTAGCCTGTGTCCGCATCAACGTCGGGCTGCCCTTGACTCATTTGTGACTAGCAGTTTACTATAAGATTCATCTGTTGTAATTGGTACATACAAAAACTCACAGTATATGGTCCTAGTCGGGAGAATTCCATGGTATTTCTCATTACGCCTGTCAGCTTCCAGGGAGTGTATATAATATCAAGCATGTCATGAACTCTTATATTCGAATTTTGCACGGCATCATTCTCACTGAGGATGCGAAGGTATTGCCCTCGTGAATGGAGCTGTTGTAAAAGTCGATTAAAGGTATCTAGCATTTTGCCTCGTCACACGTGAATATGAGCTCCCTCACTCATTTGAACTTCAACCTGACGGTAGCTCGTAGAGGTCTTGCTCGCCTTCATTCATGTAGCTATGCGCGTTCTCGCATACACACGCGTTACCCGTGGACCTCTTTAACCTTCCATAGAATACTCGGGACTATCAAGGTACACAAACATACCTCAAACACGCCTGGTGTGTGAGCTCCAAGCTGGTACTCTGTAAGAATTTTACCGAGTGAAGACGACGGCTAAAAACTTATGTTGAGCTTATGTTTGCCCAGCTGTACTAGCCACACACGATAGATGTGAACGCATTCTCAGCGATACTTTAAAACTGTTGTCGAGATTATAGATCTCTCACGTAGCACTACTGGGGAAAACTTTCGCCAACCATTCTCAAGTCTCCCAGTGATATCTCCAACGCTCTCAGTAAAACTTTTGTCGAGTTCCTTAGCAAATTCTAAAGGTCTGCTGATTCAGCTACCTCCATGCGCACCTGGCGTTGCTGATTCAGCTCGCGCAGTTGATCTGCCCATGCTCGATGGTTGTTGATTTGAGGGTGCTCTCATAACCCTACCGCAGTCGTAGCTTGCACTGCTCTCTATCCAGGGTGGAACAGCATGGGTATCCAGGGTAGAACAGGATGGGTATTTCGCAGCTTTTGTGTGTGTCCGTTGGGCGCATGTGGAAAGTCGAAGCTGATGAATCAAGATATGAATGAAGTATATATTAAATATACATTGTGGGATAACACGAGTGGTGAGCCGCCGATGACAGACAGTAAACTTCAATACGCAATAGTAAATTCTAAGCTTGATAGAATGTTTTAAGAAACACTAGCGGTTTCCAGGGCGAATCAATACGATGGCCTGTTTCATACGTATGGTCTCTACGAAATTAACACGTGAAGCTGTGTATATAAATATGATTAATAGCTGTCATCAAACTTATATAAAACTTGAAGCCTATTGTGGAGTTCATTGAGCAAAAAAGTATTTCTTTGCACTGGAAGTGAAAATTAACAAGGCAATACCTGTGCTGATCAACTCATTCATCCGAAGGCTTGACATCGTCTCTGCGATCCTCCTACGAGAGCTTTCCATTGCTGCGGTAATTTCGCAAAAGCCCTTCCGAAATTTCTTTTCACCATGGTCTACCATCATTGTAGAATTTGCTGTTAAGTCCGAGCTTCCAGAACTATTTGCTTTAATTGGGTCATCATCGAACATTCTTACGACAGGTGCAGAATCCGATGCCAATTTTTGAGGCATGGCCGGAACGCTATGCTTAATTTGCCCTCTAATTATATTGTAAAGGACAGGACAGCGGAGCGTAAGCTAATTACTCGCAACAGACGAGAGCTAAATGAATGAAGCTCTTAATTTCAATTCGTACGCGAAGTCGACAAAGAATATACTCACGTAGTTGTGCGATGACTGATTTGCAATACGAATTGCACTGAAACCAAGCTGCCATGATGATCTGGTTTTTGCCACCGAAATGCTTTAGCTGCAACCTTCGGGCAAGGTTTGCGAATAACGACGATCATCTCCAGGTTGCTTGTTAACATTCGTGTAAGATGGAAGTTGCTATTCACCAATGCTGCGAGACCAACCTGTTATTAAAGGTTCATGACATATCTAGATTTCACATAGCGCGGTCATATAAAGTAAAAAAAAAGGATAAAATCAATTGAGAAAACCAAGCAATATACCCGCATTTCCATTTGAAGTTCGTCTTCATCCTCGAAGTTGAGCAAAAATTGGGAATATGTAGTGTCATCACTTGCAAACCTGGATGAAGTGTGAAATTGATCTTTAAAGTTTGTTCCTGCACGGGCTAGTAGTCATAAAACGATTCATAAAAAGGGCTGACAAACTCCGCAAAGAAGGATGAACACAACGCTCCATTTGATATACCTGAATCTACAACGATAAATCATACACCCGGCCTTGATTATAAACCATTTCCCCAGAGGCAGATATGCTTTGCCCTCGACTAACCCTGAAGAATTCACATAAAGTATGGCATGTGAGTTAAAACCGTCGCTTGCATCAATATGCTACATCATTGTACAGTTTGTGAAACACTTTCGGGATGATATTAATATCTTAAACAGTTGAAGCGCTCGGTGAGATCAGCACACTTGTTATCACTAGAGCACACGAGCAACACGGACGATGCTAATAAGATAGCAGTCATTGCTCCATACTGCGCGACGTATCTAAATATTTCCAAGTGCAACCTAGTTAATAATCATGACACGGACACAATCTATATTTGACACCTTGGTTGATACTAGTACCTCTACAAAGACCACATCACCCATGGACGCGCAAGTTCTCGAAAGGTCTCTTGAAACAAAATATATTTAAATATTATTGTACGCGCTCTTTATTCTTCTCGTAGGATTGTTAGGATTTCTTAGGTAACTGTCAGTTTCGATCATCAGCTAGTATCCTACTAGGATGTGTACAGGTATAACAGTAGTGGTATAGACGTTTATAAACAAAGAAGAATCTCAGTTCCACGAGAAGCTTCAACACAACCCATGAGCCTATAACACATATGTATATACAATGTCCCTCGGCTTGCATTGTTTGTCACCTTGGTCCTGTAATATGACGATCCTTATCATGTTTATACGAGCGCCTCAAGGCCATTGTTCAGTGCAATGACCTTGACCAAGTACATCAGTTTTTCTCTACAGTGAGTGGTCAAAAATTTGCATAATAATACAACTGCTGTTATACATAGGTATGAGGCTCTAACTCAACCATAGTAGACTTCTCACCAATACTCGTGGAAAATCGTAGCGGCGTACACATGAAAATCATAGCGGCATACACATGAATATCATAGCGGCATACACATGAATATCATAGCGGCGTACACATGAAGCTCTTACATTTCACAAGACATATGGGAGTACAGTAACAACATTCGAACATCTTTCGCTACACTTGTGATAGAATCATATACCAAAGATTCAAACACATATTGTCACCATTCATCTGCACGACGAGTGTATATCTAAACGCTACCATTTGTGGCGAGTTTTTGACGTTCGTCCGACAATCGACCACTCACTACGCTCAAGAACAATCCAGAAGTAAAGCTCCAAGACTGAACCAAACCAATAATCCGTGTGCTTCATAGTACACCGCTTTGAAGATAAAGAAGAGTACGTGTCACACCGATGCAACATATTATAAATAGAGAGATAAAATAGCCGTACACCACTCCAGTTTTGTATATTGACACCAGGAGTGATATAGAGCTTCATTCTGCACGCCACCAACTGAGTAGATCACGCCTCCAAACAGAATGAGAAAGAGTGTTGGTAACACTTGACCACAACTTTATAAGCATACACCGGTAGCCTAGCGTAAGAGCATCTCCTCGAATATGCCTGTGCACCACTGTAAGACTTTTCAATTTGAATTTGTATGCACAAGTAGGCGAATAACTGATCGTCTTCACACGCGTGTACGATTCGGTATGCACGCCTTTCTCGGGTGGCGTGCAATTTTGGGCTCATTAACGCTAACAATATGTCGAAACCTTCAGGAATCAAGGTCGATTGGTAAGTCATCCGATACGCTCGCTACTTTTTGGCTAGCAATGTTAACTTGTATGGTTTGTGGGGTTGGTTATACGTTTGTACGGTTAATAGATATACGGTTGCATTTATGCGTGTCTATAAATGCGCAATTCAACGGAAAGAACATTACATCATACAGCTTCTCACCTGTAGGTTGCACTGGCTTCATCATCGTATCGACAGTTGATGCACTTCGAGATGAGATCGCGATGATTATGTATATGATAATACATGCCCTCTAAATAAATTTACCGATGATGTGGTATTTATACAGTAATACAATGTATGTCAAATTTTTCTATAAAAAAAGTACATGTTTTCACGGATGAATGTATTTTTTTGTTTAAAAATAAAATAGTTAAATACATAGCAGTAAATATGGTTGCACAGCAGTATTTGAAAAAAACAGGAACCAGGTCGTTCATCCTGATTTTCACCCCGAAATATTTCCAAAACTAGCCTTCATTTTTTTCTCCAAAATGAATGGTTGCTTTTGGCAGATCATAACAATGCCAAAACCGATGAGTTTCCAAAAACGACATTCTGGACATGTGGTGGCCCAATGTATAGACTTTTGCCCGGCCCAAATGTTTACAATAGGTAAAATGGACTTTTTCGGCTTAGCATACACAGGATGAAGCATTTCTAACCCATAAAATTTTGACTTAATTAGGATCGAAAGGCCTGGAGGAATGGAGGTCAAAACAGTCGAGTTTTTAGGTTTTCACCGTTGGTATCGGGTGCTATAGCCAATACATCGCTCCAAAAGTCCCGGATTTGTGAAACGACATTTTGGATGAACGGGAACGACCCGATTCTCACTGCTGTGCCCCAAATATATATTGTTTTTTATATATATAAAAAAGATCATTGTAAAAATATATTTTTAGTGCATATATTTATTTTATTATTTTATATATAAATAATTCTAAAATATGTATTCCAAAACAGTATATTCGAACCTCTCGCTAAAGTGGTTTTCGGTTCGTATTGTAAACAAAGTCACGCAGGTTAAAAGCAAAGATCAATTTGGAGTTCGCAACACATATGAACAGTAGAACACTACATAGCTGTATGCTGGTACTCTTATCGAAGTCGGCTCCTGTCTAGATATGTATGGAAATCGCACAACTGCAACATATATCATTCTACTTGAAACAAGCAGTCTAGACGCCGTTGTTTCTTCTTCTTGACTACTAAAAGAACAACATGCGTTTACAGCAAGTAATTACCGGTAGGTTTCCCTTCACGATGAAATGAGTACGTATTTTTTCTCTCGACAAATGTACCAATATATAAATATATTATTGCGACACGTGTATTATATGCGAATATTATTCCAAGCACGCGTATATCGTCAACATCTGTAACCCTTCACGTTGCATATTCGAGAGCTTAATACGCTATGAGATTTAAATATTGTGCCTTTTTTTCGGGATTCACGTTTTACTGTATAATTTAGGTTTAACATTATTCGTATTTTACGTTCTCGTGTACACACACAGCGGTTCCAAAAGCAGGGACTGTACATTATAGTCTATAGGTGGTAGTGAGGAGAGTGTATATTTGTATACTGTGTGCTTGCATGTATGTTCCAAATTTTACTGTTGTCATCAATAACACACACAAAGAAACACACACATATATGCATATATATATATATATATATATATATATATATATATATATATATATATATATATATATATATATATATATATATATATATATATATATATATATATATATATATAT